CACCGCTCCTCCCTTTCCTGTCACATCTCACAGTTCCACGTGCTCAGTTCACTTGGCCCATTTCTCCCATACAATCTCTCCGCGCAATGTTTTCGAACTGCCACCGAGAGCCGTAGCCAGGCATTGTGGTTGCCGTGGCGAAGCGCCATCCTCGCGCCCTCCAACCACTCACCCCCTTGTCCCCAACCCCCCCTCGCCCCCGCTGCTGTGGCGCTGGCACCACCCTCGCGAAAGCCTCGCCGCCACCGCTTGATTCGTTTCCCAACAATTCGGCGGCCGGCGTCCCCTTTGGGGAAGTGCTGGCAAAACTCGGCAACGGAGCGTCGAACGCGCCACCGCTGGGCCGTGCCAGTCTCGCGCAGCACGAGTCAGTGCCCGCGTCTCTCCTGCAGGCGGCATCCCCGCTCCTATCTACTTCGGAGCAGCCATTGACTCCACGTGCTTGAAGTCGACTGGCTCGGCCTGCAGCGGCAGGGGCTCGTGCCGCATCTACGACTCCAACGCCTTTGGGTTTGTCGCGCAAAACTCTCTCCACTAGGATTGCCACCTCCGACTTACAAAAGTAACTGGTGCGTACGGTGGGAAGAATAAGAAAATCTCGCAATAGGGGCCGTCCATAAATGACGTCACGCACCTGGGGGGGGGGGGGGTCAGACATTTGTGACGATGACGTGACGATGGGGTTTGAGAATGTGACGTCACATCAAAATGCGCAACTTTAAATAAAAATAGACAACACGTTCTACTTAATTAAATAGACTTTTTAATGTTTTCTCCTACAACATCAGAGTGCAGCGCCACAATAGATACGCACTACAATGACAATAGTTTCAAGCGATTTGAAGCATGTTTTTTTTTGGGGGGGGGGGGGCAGAGCTTTGTGACGTCATATTTGAGGGGGGATCTGACTTTTTGTGACGCCGTGTGACGAGGGGGGGGGGGGGGTCAAATATCGTCCAAAATCGCGTGACGTCATTTATGGACGGCCCCTAGGCGTGACCCGTGAAGTGACCAGGAGAGGACAGTAGAACAATCTCGTTCGCTCAGGTATGAGTGTCATCCCCCCTTGTTATGCACGGGCTTTCACCCTATACTCGTTTCCTTCCGCGTGCCAAACGCTCATCGCTGGAAGGGATTGATGGTGGGTGGTTGACACTGGGACGGAGTGGAAACCTAAAGACAGGATGTGCCCGAGAGGATGGCCACCACAGAGATGGGAGTGATAAAATCAGCTCATCCACGGAAGTGAGATGTTTTGTTGAATCAAAGGACTGCCGGGGTGTCGACAGTACGGGGTGGCCTTCATCTAGCAGCGGATGGACTGTGGATTATGATGACATTAAATAAGTATTTGTATCTGCTGTTTAATGCGTATGAATCAAATATTCACCCTGCAGCAGTTAACCATATTTAAGTAAACACATCTGTCATGAAGTTCATTCGCGTGCTAGTAACACAGGCTTCATCCCACTGGCCCCGTCCCACCTGTGCAGGCGAATTTACATTTCCCTCTTAGTGGCACTCTTCCTGGCGGCGATCGTCGCACTGGCCAACGTCTACCGGCTCCTGCGGCGCCAGGCGAGGCAGGAGAAGGGAGCGCGGGCGGAGGTGGAGTGCGCGGAGACCCAGGGGCGAGCCCCCGGCTTCAGCGCCGTCCCCACCGTCAGCGCGACGAGCGAGCAGCAGTCGCTCAAGCCGCCGTCGGTGGTGGACGTGGACTGCGGGCCGCGTACCCACCTGCCCTCTACGCGGGACAGGGAGACGATCTTCTGATCCTCGCACACTGCCACAGGCACTTCCTACTTCGTGCGCGCGCTCGCTGCTTGGTGCAGACGTTCGCTGTTTGCTGTTCAGTGGCCGCCCTTGGATAAAACCGCGGGTGCATAAACCAAACATTCTGCGCGCTGTTTGCTTCAAATTTGACGTTAAAGATCCCATGAAGTTATTAGAAAAGCGTCATGGTCCAGTTTTAAAAAAAAATACTCACAAATCACCAAATTGGGTAAAGGCACATAGCAACGTCACCCCTACTGTACCCCTTCCACTATAGTAATATCCAAATGTATCCATGGCCAGCAATCGAACTTAGGTTGTAAGGTTTATGACTCAGTGCGGCAACCACTGCTACCACTCCCCCATTTTTGTAGATCAATATCAAAATACCCATGGAAAATAATTTTCATTACTTAATGTGTTTCAGGAAATGAGAAATCTGGAGCCAAAAATTACGAATCTTTTTTGAAAATTCCAATTCAGAATGGGATTATTTGTATGCATGTCCATTTATTTTAATATAACCAGAGGGCATTATTTGACGTTTCTTTTCCCTGTTTTTCATGGTGCAAACAGAACCACTTTTATTACGAATGGAGAAAAAAGCTCACGGTATTTGTAAATTTTCATCCGTGATGAACGAACCGTCTACAAAATTCAAACGCATTATCACCGTGCCACCTCGTAAAACGTCGTCTCCAAATACAATTTAAACAAGTTTAGTGTTCTTTGCGATGTGAGAAAAGGGCACTGCTTGAAATGTTAGCGTGAGGAACGTTTTTTTAATGCAGGAGGCAATGTTAGTGACCGCTGTGTGGGTGTTTTCAGACTGTCCTTAAGTGTCCCGAGGGTCATATCTATCTCAAAACAAACTCAAAGCACACGTGTGTGTGTATATCGGGCTTAACGTTGTCATTTCATATCAGTGCATCAAATATCATCTGAAAGTGGAGAACTTCAGTTGCCTTGAACCACGTGGGAATTTGTATTCTCTTAACGTATAATTAGAGAAGTGTGATGCGATCCATGTTTTTCCCCCATTAAATTGTTAACAACCCACGAATTCCCACTCACAGACGCAAGACCAGCAATGCAACCTTCAAAGTGGCCTGTTTCGACTTCACACGCCACTTTCTCGTATTCAGATGCGTAAGCTGACACGGTGTGACAGAACAACATCCTGGGCCGAACTATTTCGCGTGGTACAGTCGGCCTGCAGGCTCAGTCTTGCCTGCAGAACTTGAGTGTAAAACAGCTATGCAATTGGGTATATTTTTAACGGTATGCCAATATTTAAGTCAAATTAATATGAATTGTTGCAATATATGATGTAAATCATGCGCATTGTTCAAATATATGTAAATTAAGAATGTGTGGTGCATTAACATGAATTAAATCAATGTTGCTGTGAATTTGGGCTTATTGTTACCATTACTAAATCACGCTTGCAAGCACGGCCGAGTCACGGTATATTCTTACTCTTCACGATGTTCCACCATCAGTCGCGTATATCACTGAAGTGTCAATGATTTGGTTCATAACTATTCCACAAACACTACATATTTAAATGTGATTATATCAGGAACATTAATGTATGAACAACGGAACGCCCATCGTGCAGAAGTAGCGATTAATCGGCTCTGGGTAGATTTTCGCACAGCAGGACGAGAAGAGATGGTTGATGGCTTTGGGAGGCGACAATCTAGCAGTGGGAAGATGATGGCTGATAAAGATGACTCAATGTATGCATTGACCACAATACCTGCGGTCGGAATGCAAACAAAAAACACAACTCTGATAATGTGTGCACTCCTTTGACTCCTTGTAAAAAAGGTGTCAGTTTTGTTGCCAGATAAAAGGGTAAAAAACCAATTATCATATTTTGCTACTGGCAAAGGAGGTTCCAATGGTGTAAATGCTTACCCAGAGCTCTCATACTCTGATGGTGCATTGTCTTTGAGTTGTGCGCCGTTTGGCGTCATCTGGTCCAACACCATGTGAGACTAGGCTCTAAGAAAAGCTGTCTCGGGTGTGGACCAATCCATTTCAAGGACAGTGCATTCATTATCAGAGTTGTGTTTTTTGTTTGCATTCCGACCGCAGGTATTGTGGTCAATGCAAACGTGACTCCTTGTAAAAAAAAGGTGTCAGTTGTGTTGCCAGATAAAAGGGTAAAAAACAATTATCATGGCTCAATAATTATTGGTGATGATATGATCACATGTTTACATTGTCAAATTGAAATAATTAATGTATTTATTGTAATACTTTATTAATGCTATTCACTTAGTATTGGCCGAGTAGCCCAGCACTAAAGCGAGCGGCCGCATGCGGAAGGTTGCGAGTTCGCTTCCTAGTTTTGGGTTCACTCGGCCCATCATCCCTTCGTTGTCGATCAAATGAGTACCAATTCGTGGATAATTCAGCAGCGGTTTTCCTCAGTATGGACTCGCCCTCCTCATAGGAACGTGGAATTTCCACCACTGGCCCAGGGCTGCGAACGGATGAGCACCGCCTCGAAAAAGGCTCATTTGAGGAATAACTACTTTGACACTCGTCTCCCATCTTCTTGTTGCATTTGTTAACGTGCAGTTTGCCGTTCTCTACGTGCTATGTACGTGGTGTCTCCATGTGTGTTCCCTCGCTACGTGTTTCATCCCATTTCCACCTGATGATGAGCGCTTGTGTTGCGTTCGAAACGTAGTGATTTATTTTAATTTAATTTATTAAAAATTTATTTTATTTCTACATACGTGACTTTACTTAAAAAAAACAATGAGTATAAGTTCTGCAGTCACGAAAGCTTCAATCTTAGATTAACTACTTTGCCATTTATAACAGACGCATACATACTATTTGGAAATGTCTTAGTGTCTGCATGCGGCTGTCTGGTTTGACCACTCGAATGCGAAGTTGTTGCTCTCCACAACAGAGGTGTTTTTTGGGGGTTAGATCGCGATTTAACCCCCCCCCCCCAAAAAAAAAAACCAACCCCCTCTATTATGGATCATATTGGTCGCGAACGCCTACGTGTTCAACGGATCGTTGCTCTCCATCGACATCGTCGGCCGTACGGAAGAAAAAAAGTGGCGTCGAGGGATGGGCTTGGAGGGAGGAGGAGGAGGAGCAGCAAGAAGGAGGCTGATTGCGGTGCTGATGCGGGTGCGAGGACCGCGTCGAGCAACGTCGCAAGGCGCCGCCGAGGTCAAGCGTAAAACCCGTTGACGCCGAAGGAGGAGGACTTAGAGGGTGCTGGGCAAACTCTCGGATCGCAGGCGCTTCGGACTGAGAGCACGGGGAGGGGGTGGGTGGGGGGGTCACTGCGCTGCGTTAACAAGGCGAGGGTGAGGAAGACGTGAGGGGCCCGAGGTAACGTACTGCGCGAACGGCACTTGCCCCCCCCCCCAAAAGTGCGTTGAGCCTACACGGGGGAACTTTGGTTTTGTGCACGGCGTGCCCGCGTGTGTTCGTGTGCGAGAGGACACTGCGCGTCGGACGCGTGTCTGTGGGTATGCGCGCCGATATAAGCGGCGCGCATGCAGGATGGGTAATATTAACTGCTGGGCATCTGCGAAAAAGAGGTTTACATCTCATCGGATTCCTCCACTGTGAATACACATTCCGATGGCTGATTTTAAGACGAGCACACCTGTGTACGCGTTTATGTCATGCGTGCTTAAAAAAAGCGTCACGACAATGATGATGATGCTGCTGCTGCTCTTGATGATCACACAGGGAACTACTGGGCATCGTTCAGTGTCCACGCACTGCTGGCGTGGGGCTCGCGCTGCACGGACAGGTAAGGGACAATGGCTGGGTAGCGGCGTAATCAGAGAGAACAAAAGAGTGCTGGATCGATGGCAGGGTGCGCCCCACCCCCTACCCAACACGTCGGGAAGCAAACAGCGGCTGGTGGCCCGAATGTTTGTAAGGCGACTCGCCCTAGGGGGCCCAACATGCCTCTCAGCTCTGGGCCAGACTCTAGTTCTGTACCGTGGAGACAAAGCCACCCCCCCCCCCGTGTAGTGTTCAAGAGGACTTCCCGGGGGCAAGGGGGGGGGTAAGTGCTGTTGGCTTTGACGGACGGAGCAGTGTACGAACACACGTGATGTGGTCGGAGACAGCGTGAAGCTGCGAGTGTCGTTGACGCTTGCACACCGCGCGGTTGGCTCCGTACGGTTGGAAGGAAATTCAAGGTGCGTGCGCGCACCAGCCGCTCAGAATCAACCCACGGGAGGCTCAATACCGTTCCGGTATTACTCACCATTGAGAATTATTAGTCAAGACCGGTAGTTTACATTCCATTTTCCCGATGCTACGATGGAATCGAATGTTACCAATAATATAGGTTTATTTGGGTTAGATCGCCAGATCTCGCGGTAAGCCTGATGAAGCTAGTTGTAATTACTGGCGAAACGTCGTACTCAGATTGTAAATGCTGTGGCTTGGCTCTCCAACACACCGGTGGTGCTGTACTAGTGACGAATTGGCCACGTTCTGTTTACGTGACAACCCTTACTAGTTGGCTGTGTCGGGTGGTGTCGGGTTTTAACGACACATTTATATATTTACGCTATCTAACCCAAAAAACCCCTCTATTATGGATGATATTGGTCGCGAGAGCCTACGTGTTCAAATAAAATGTTACCATTAAGAAGAACACATTACTCCAACCAACAATTAATTCGAGAGACATTTCATTATTCTCTCTAATCGAGCTGTAAACAACTCCTCTAGGTTTCTCATAGATGATGCCTCTCAAGCCGCTATTGGTTGTTCCATGAGCACTTGTGCTATGCAGTAATGACAGAGGAATTCGAGTTAAAGTTAAATTCAACCTGTTGGGAACCGTTATTTTAACACCGCAACCCACCTATATACTTACCCGGCGAACACGTCAACCATACAATAGCAAACAATGAAACATACACGAACAATTTGGGCTGCTGGCATGAAGCATTTCATGTCCTTTATTCGTCAGGTGTGGTCAGAAGGTGAGCCTGTGCCGGTCCTCTCCTCGCCTCTCAGTGCTTGCGTGACATTGCACGCAAGTTCCACTTTTACGAGAGGCTTTAAGGTCACACATTTTCGCCTCGCTTATACGAGAGGCTTTAAGGTCACACATTTTCGCCTCGCTTATTCCCCTCCAGGACCAGGATTTGAACTCACAACCTTCTGATTGCGAGCCATCCAACTGTAGCGCTGAGCCACCTGGCCGGTTTGGCAGGTACTTCCAGTGGCAGGTATTTCACCTCATGTCCTGTGTCGAACGATGTATCGACATTTTGGTGGTGTTTTTTTCAAACATTCTTCTTGCACTGCATTCAGGTGGTTCTTTGTTCACAATGTACGCGCGTGACTGTAGCTGTGACGTACACATGACTGGAGTGAACTATTTTTCTTTTGTAAACGTGACACTTTTTTTACTGTTTGGCCGTGTCGGGTGGTGGAGGGTTACGACACATTCATAAATAACGCGATCTAACCCAAAAACCTTTATTATGAATAATATTGGTCGCGAAAACCTACGTGTTAAACTGAGCCATTGGTTTCTGTTGTACTGAAGTCAAATGTGATGCACATTTCTGCAACTGCAATGGTGATCATGATTATTATTGTAGTGGTATTATTGGAGGGATGGTGACATTGCCTCGCGGAAGTGCATGCATCGCTCATTGTAGATGTTCATGGTTCTAATCCAGCGGCCGCCCTGGTTATTACTGTCAGTTTAACAACGATGGTGTTACAATACTACGCACTGTGTGCTTCAAACAGCAGACGTCAAGAAGCCCGGATGTAATTCGCAAGAGTAGACCATTGTGTGCCGGCGTCAGGGTAAAAAAAGTTGCCAAATTCGACATTTACGCCGCATACATCACAGTCTCATGCCCGAGGTCACTCCTCAAATAAGACCGTCGTTGTCTCTTCTTGAGTTCCCACCTGGCTAAACAAAACAAACTTGAAACAATTTGTGAGCAGAGTGAATAAAAGAGAGAAAAGGAGGAACAGCCCCTTGTGTTTGCGTACAGTTTGGGTTGGATGGTGCCGGTGTCAATGTAAATTCGCGATGCCACGTGCCATCTGGTGGTGATGGTGTAATGGACGTTTTGTTGGAATCTCAGGCGCATCTCAGACATAAACTGCACGAATTGGAAACGTCCATTAAATTAAGCACATTCTGCACTTAAGGTGCCTAAAGAGGTTCAACATGCAAATTGTAGCCAAAACACTGCATCGAAAAATCATAATGTACAACACGAAAAAAAAGTTGATGATTGGAAATTCACAAATGTTATCACTTAGGGAGAAAAATTGAACGATAAGACACCATATAAATAGAATATTATATTTGAGCACTGTTATGCAGAGCTACAAAGTAAATATATACTGAATATATGTATGTTTCAAGAATGGAACTGTGTCTCAGATGAAACAGTTGCAGATGCCACACTTGAAAGAGTCAACTATGCCTTTCACAGTATTTAAAGGGGATAGCTCCTGAACCATATATTATTTCCGTGGACATGAAAGAACCAAAAACAGCTTATGGAACAGTTAATTAAACAAGTGACTTTATATATATCTGAGGGACACAACACAGCTTAATCCGTGTATATGTATACCCGGGACAGTTATTAAAGGTGCTTATTTAGGAATAGCACGTGGCTTGTGCTCTTTCTTTTAAGGTGAAATGGTGTGGAAGTTATCATGGAATCAAACGGACCTGCGCTTCAGATCATTAAACGCAACAAGATAATCATTCAAAAGTGTCTACATGGAAATCTGCACACAGCACTCGATCAATCATGTCAGGAAAGTATGCTTACGGACAATGAATACAAGACTGCTTTTGCTGAAGCTAACCCCGTTCAACAAGCTCGGTACCTTGTTAACCTGATGATTGACAAGGGAGAGGCAGTCTGTATGAAGTTTCTGCAGGTTGTACTGGTACCACTGAGATCAGAAAGCCATCCCTTGGATGAGTGGATCACCGTGAATGAAGAGGAGCTGCGTGGAATGGGCATCAGAGTGAGCAACACCGAGAACCATGTCATCCGTGGAGAAGCTTTCCGTGAGTGCAGTGATTTTTTTTTTTATCTCTGCCGCCTTCGTTAATCTCGCCTCTTTTGGCCGCCAAACCTGGCTTGTACACGTTAAGCCACAAGGCCAATGTCGACGGTGGTAATTGGTCACAAAAGCGAATGCATGATTAACACACATCAGTATGTCCACATTGAAACCCAGGATCTCAGCAGTGCCAGCTCGATGCTGTGACCTCTGAGCCACCCAACCACATCTGGCATTCCATTTGTTTTAATCGCAAATTGTTGAATGCGATCTCCTTCGCATCGTAAACTACGTTGTAAAAAAGAGACAAGGCTGGTGTGCTCAAACTTGTTGTCGTGTGTACTTACAGGTCTTACACGTGAACTTTATGTATGTATGTTTAACTTCTTTCGCACCGTATGCAGCCAACCGTGCTAATCGGAGGTGCGGGGGAAGGACAACAAACTAGACACAAAAAGCATTTCTAAAGAAATTCATTCGAATTTTAGAATTTTAAAGTGCTCTAGTGGCGACCTAATATCAGAAGGAAGAGCGTTACAGACGGCCGCAGAAGCACACCAGACGATATCCCATTCTCTGCTCAATCAGTTACTTCTGTTTGTCCGCTCTCCTGATTCCACCACTTTCACAAGGTTAAAGTTATATTTCTTCATTGCCCATGGAAGATTGCTCCTTTTAGTGTTCTACAGGATCACTCGAATGTATTATTGTAATGTATGAATGATTGTCGGTTGAATTTTTTCATGATTTCAATTTTGTTACACAACTCGAATTGATATAATCAAAACTCAAATGCTTGTGAAGTTCATGCTATAATTTGCATTGAATTCAGTTATATTATTTTTTCATAGTATTATTCTGACTACATGATATTGATAACCTGCTATGTATTAAATATCTATATCTGAAGGCTATATACTATATTAATTTTGCCTTCTGGTTTTTGTTACATTTAGGAAAACATATGAATAAATACAAAACGTATTTGAAAAAGCTAACTGCGGTTTCACATGACTACAATGCATTGCCTGGAGAATTCACAAACTTATTAGAGAAGATGGTTAGTCCTGTGCTGGTGCATTACTACCACAGGGATGAAAAGAAGACGCACGAGTTCTTTGGAAGAGCCAATGACCACGAGAGGATGATGCAGGAAGCAAATTGCAATGGGATCACCTACGAGGAACTCTTTGATCCGATGAAATCCAACGGAGAGATACCTCGTCTGGTCGTTGTGGTCGGAGTCCCTGGCATTGGTAAAACCACCATGAGCAAATTCATTGTGAACAGATTGTCAACAGCTGGCGACATCATATTTGATCAAAAATTCGAAAATGTTGTCTACGTACGATTCAGAGAGCTAAATGAAATAGGTGAAGTGTCACTCAAGGATCTGCTTGGAAACGTGCATGCTGACTTGGGAAAGGTGGCTCATGAATTGATTGAAGACCCAGCAAAGTTATTGTTTCTAATGGATGGTTTGGATGAATTTGGAAGGTGTCTTGATTTATCCAAGGCTTGTAATGATCCAAACAAGAAAACAAATGTAGAAGCCGTCATTGCTGGTTTGGTGACGGGAAGGCTTCTGCTCGAATCCTCCATCCTGATTACCACGCGACCCCTAGCGATGGAGAAGCTGGATGAAGCAAAAGTGGACCGTGCCGTTGAAATCGCCGGGTTTTCTGCAGACGAGAGGAAATCATTTTTCCACAAGTTCTACAAAGACAACGTGCTAGGTGAGAGAGCATATCAGCTTCTGGAGCAAAATACACTCTTGGGTAGTTTGTGCTACAACCCTTCATTTTGTGAGATGGCAGCCATAACCATTGAGGATCAAATAAAGAATAGAGGTACACCTGAGTTTTGCCCACAATCTACAACCGAACTCTTCACACGTTATATCTTTGTCCTCATCAAGCGCCATAGAAACAAAGCAGCAGGGGAAAAACACATTGCGTCTATTGCTAAAATGGCTTTAGAAGGTGTTCAAAACAACTTCCAGATATTCACACAAGCACACCTGCAAGAGTTTGAGATTGAAGCTGATGAAGTTTCAAGCACATTTATCAATAATGTGTTTAAATGCGATGGCGTGAAGCGTGATACATGCTATTCATTTTCCCACCTGACAATTCAAGAATATTTTGCGGCCTTAAGTGTATATTTGCAACCAACACATTCATTCTTCAGACAGCTGTGGGATCGAATACGTCCATCAAAATATTCAGTTTCTCACATCCTAATGAATATTAACAATGAACAAGACGGGCGGTATGACGTGTTTCAGAGGTTCCTTTGCGGACTGGCATCCAACACTCCCTGGACGATCTTAGAAGGCGTCCTTTCTAGGCCATCCGCTGGTTCTCAAAACAAGGTCAAGGAATGGATCAGACACAACATAGTGAACCACATGGGAGACAAACAGAGGCTCATCAGTCTGCTTCATTGCGTGTATGAGCTACAAGACCCAAAGGCCTTGAGCAACGTCACTCGATCCATGACAGAGATTGACTTTTCACACACAAAGCTGTCCCCGCTGGACTGTACTGCAGTCACCTGGCTTCTGCAGTATCGAGATGAACCATTGGAGAAAGTCGACGTAGAGTCATGCGGAATCGGCACTGAAGAAATCAAGAGACTCCATCCTGGACTGCACAAGTGTAAAGCATTGTGGTATTGTTCACATTTTATTTATATTACAAAGCAAAAGCCAATGCTTCTCACTGATCAATGTTCATATTATCCAGATATCTACCTCCACCATGACAACAGACCCCTATATGTTTATGCAAATTTAAATTAATCTATGAATGATCTTCTAACAAAATCAATAATTACCTGGGTGATTGTCAATTCATTTGAAAAGCAATGCTGTTGCTAATAAGACAGCACCGTCTCTTCTCCCGTGATGATGATGTGTTTGGGTACAACCACAACGGCACACTAATGAATAAAGCAGAAGAATTGTTGGCTGTAGTATTAAGTGTCTGCGTTGATCATGTTTACATGATTGTTCATCTTCATCAGGTAACATGTTTGGTCCAGTCGTTCCCGTGCGTTCATTTGACAGAGGGCTCTCCCTTCTGCCGTGCGTGTGAGTGTAGGCTTGGTGGAAACGACCTGAAGAATGAGGGAGTCAGGATCCTGGCGAACGGAATGAAGGGGATAGATGGGCAATTGGAAGTCCTTTAGTGAGAAACCACCTTACACCTCTCACCAAGTCTAGTTTTGTCTCAATATTCCACATAAATGGCTAAGTTTCTAATTATATACACATTTTTACAGTCCCATTGTTGACATGTTCAGTTGTGTCGGTACGATGTTGTGTCCCACAACTTTATTAATGTTCCGTTGTTGGCATGGCTCTTACAAATAATATGGGAAACAAATCTGCAAACTCTGTCCCACTGTGTTGAAGTGACTCACGATATGTCCCACTGTCGGGATGGCTCCCACTAAATCCATCTGTTTTTTGGAATGATTCTGGATAGGTCCCGCTACAATGTTAGTGTGACTCCCGCGATGCTCCTCTGTGTTCGTACGACTCCCTCCTATGTCACGCTGTGTTGAAGCAACTCCCTGCGAGAGTCAGCTCAGGTGTGGGCGCTAACGCCTTTAAAAGTTGTCCACTAGTGCAGAAAACAAACAAACAGCCACCCGCTGAACATGAGACAGAGTCCAGTTACAGATTGGGGTTTCCTTAGATTTATTCTCAATCTCATCTCTTTAATTGTCACCGTTCAAATATAAAATAAGCCGCAGTACAATTGATACAAATAAGACCTCAGCTCGTTTCATATCTCACCACGGTCTTGCCGAGAGAGCAAAATTCAATGGGCAAATGTCAGGGCCGAGTCAAAATAAATTACAGTTTGCCAAGAACAATACAAGGGACTTTGCAAGGATTTGCGAGTGTTAAAGGGCAAGTAAATAACTCACGTCACGTGAACAAAGTGCACGTTAACGGCAGTAAAAATTCCATCTGGATTTGAAGCTTTCGTGACTGCAGGAATCCATACTCTTTGGTTCTTTCGGTAAAGTCACCGAAAGCAGTTGCCCTGCTGTGATTGTGTCACCTGATGACGATCGCTTGTGTTGCGATCGAAACGTCGTGATCTATTATTTTCTACCTACGTGACTTTACCGAAAGAACCAAAGAGTAAGGCAGTAGAAATTACTTGGTCACGTCACAACACGATCAACACAGACTCAACGTTATATTACTAAATACACGCGAGGCTAATCGCTATCACTGTCACGCAATTACTTATCTATCACACTTTCTCTGCCTTTTTAAACTCTGGTCTAGAGCACTGTTTTTAAACGAGATGGTGCCAATTGTACCTGACGAGGTTACGTCTCGGTGTTCGGGCGAGGTGGCTCACTCGTGTGGTGCAGCCAAGAGAATCTCGGTAGAGGCCCCACCGAGCGGTTTCAGGCTGACCACGATACACAACATTTTCTTTATATCCCCGTATAGATGGACACAGATGGTGGCGAGTTCACTTGTACTGCCTTCTAGCGAGGCAGGGTGTTGGATCCTCGACGGCAATAGCAAGGCAGTTTCACATTCTTACGTGCGATCCAGCAAACGCTCGCTGCCTCCACGTGTGCTGGATTACAGGCCACGTGCATAGCCACCACCGCCGCTCACCTAAGACGTCACAAGGCCCGTGATATGTCTCCCTCTTCGAGTAGTAACACGTCTGCATTCTCGTTAAGTTGAAATGACTCCGTTGTTACCCTCCCCAATAAAGCTGTGGTTCGGCTTTTCTTTTTTCCCGTTTAGCCTGATCGGCTGCTCACTGACAGTCCATGTCGGTCCTGCACTCCAAGACATCATCAAGGCCAACAAAGAATTGAGGGATCTCAGGTATGTTTCCGTGAAGGCTCTGCTCTTTATTGCTGTTGCAAATTTGACGCGTATACTCTGTGCGCAAGTTATCGTTTGTTATGTATTTAGTGTTCCTGAGGTGAAGCGAGTGAGGCAGTGTCTGAAGCAATTAGCGAAACTAACTATTCTTACAGCCTTCAATACCGACATATTTGAAAATAGACAAAACACGTGTGCGTGAAGGAATATGGTTAATATTAACAACAGATCCTTTCACATTAAAGTAGAAAACATGGTCATCATCAGCAATGCTCATTCCACTGCTTCATGAAGACCTCACCAAGCTGTCGCCATCCTTCTCGGTCATGAGTTGCAACTATTTATGGAGTCCCTGCACACAACACGCCATCTCCTCTTGGTCATGTTAACTCCTTTTAACATCGACAGCTCGGTGAAATGGCGCCGCGGTGGCGAGATGTTAACTGCTTCGCCTGGAATACAGGAAGTCGTGGCTTCAATCCCGACGCCTGCTCTATATTTGGAGTCTACGTGTCTCTCCCCACCCGTGGTTGCGTGGATTTGTTTTTTTCCTAGTCCTCTGTTTTACCCTTCCCCATTCAATGGCGGAAGGGGCTTGGATGGCCTGGTGCGGCCGTGTGTTTGACACCCCTGGTTTAGATTATTTGTCTACTGCTATAAATGTCCACCTGATGATAAGCCACTTCGTTGAGCTGTCATTTGTGGACAGGTCGCTTCTGAAAAAAACGCTACGTGGCTCAGTGTGCCTTACCTGGTAAAATTGAAAGTTTAGTTACGACTGCTTCCCCATTATTCAGTCTCGATTACCCGATCTTAATATTGTGATAAATTATACGAATACTACATTCAATAATACGTGCCGTTTAGTATTTTTTTGTAAATGCTATATTCTAAGTACTTTTACGTTGCATAACAGATTCAAATGAAATGTGTAAACAGCGGAAATGGTATTGTTGGTGAAGCTCATGCTCGTCTCCGAAATTCGTGTGGGTTCAGGAAGACATTTTCTGTCTCTCGTCCCGTCAACGTGGGTTTAGGCTGAGCGGGAACCAGATAAGGGACGCAGACTTCCAGCTCCTGGCGCATGGGATGGCGAGGAGAGAAGGGCGTTTGGAGACGTTGCAGTGAGTGCCATCCTGACACCGCCTGACCATGTCTCCCCCCCCCCACCACGTGATGCAACATCGCCTATGTTAAACAGCTCCACACGTGATGCGTCTATAACCCTCTTGTATAAAACTAAGGTCCCCCAAGTGGCTTCAACAAGGGTGTTGGGGCAAGTGCCATTAGCGAGCACCTATAAATGGCTGCCACAGCAAAGAGGTGGATGGCAAGCACCACGCCTGGCTACCGTCACATTCTCGCACTGCATTAGGTACTCATTTAAGGTTGAATCGACCTAGGGGAGGCACAGGACCTATTCAGAAGTCCATCACTGATGTTGGCTGCGAGTGGGAGTAAACTTATGGTCGCTGGGTTTGTAGCTCAGTGGCTGATCAAATCTGTTTTTGTTTGTTTTAAATCGTCAGTTACTCTTTTGAAATGTTTAGATTTGGTCACTGTAACGTCTCAGCCATAATACATCTCTGTGCTGAATGCAAAGTTTTAAATTTTTCTGTTCCGGCCCAAGAATCATTTAGTTGACAACAAAAATAACAATAATGTATATACAGGGTCTCCTCGACTTACGAAGGAGTTAGGTTCCAGAGGTCTGTTCGCAAGTCGATTTGTTCCGAAGTCCAACTTTACTCCTGTTGATTCCAAACATGTTGTACGGCGTGTACACTAAACACGGGGAATGGCTTTAAACGTTGTATAATCTCCTGTAGATAGATATTCCACTGGTTCTTCATGTTCTGCAGATGTAGATGCCACCGGTTCTTCATGTTCTGCATATGTAGATGCCGCTGGTTCTTCATGTTCTGGAGATGTAGATGCCACCACCGCCATCTATTGCACGGCGGTTGAACTTTCGACTTTCGGTCTGAACAGGCAACCGAACATATGGACAGGTTTTGTTCGTATCTCTGAAAGTTCGTAAGTAGAGATGTCCCTGTAGCGTGTAACTGAAATTCAAGACGCTCAACAGAAGCAGTTGAAAAATACAACTTCACAGAGTAAAAAAAGTTGATGAAGCCCCCGCACGGCTGCCGATGGAGATGTGGCAGCCCCTGTGAGAGTGGCAAGGACCCAAGGCAAGGTCCAGGAGGCAGCACCGAGCCCAGTCCTGAAACAGCGCAGGAGGGAGATTGGGAAATAAAACGATACGGTAATAAGATAATGAATATGCCGTGTTGTCGAGGGACATAAAGGAGACAGGTTTCAGGATGTGGCAAGTGGTAATGTTCAGCGTCAGCTGCCTCCTCGCCTCGGGGGAGAAAGTGGGGAGCCGAAAGCAAACAACATCAAACTGGTCTTCTTTCCAAAACCTGAGGTCTACTCTTCATTCCTCACTGCTAGATTAAATATTTACTTCCTCGCGTGAAATTACACCTGCGGATATTTTCGGAAATATTATGTGGTTCACACCCTTAGCTTTTGCCTGTTTTCCACTCTATGCTTCTGGTTGATATATTGACATTTGATGTGTTTACGTGCCTTTTAAAAAAAGACAACCAGCAGTTTACATGTCCAAAGTATTTTACGCGTTTACCCAATAATTATTTTTAACATCTACAGTTTATAAAAATTGCGAAATAATTTCCTGGATTCTTGTAAAGTGTATTCGATAGGCGGGGGTTCAAACATGGAGTAGATGTAATTCAAGCCTCCATGTCACGAGCCATGGAAGGTGGGAAGTGGTAAATATTGAATATAGCAATGATGAATGTTACATGTGTTTAGGCACTGTTACCAGTTGGATGAATGGCAAGGTTGTTTCCGCATTGAAAGCAGTAGGAATTGATGTTTGAGTTGATTCCAGTTAAAGTGAGTTTGTGCTCAAATCAGCATTGAGATGGAACTCAGTCATGAGGCAGTCGTGGAAATTCCGCATTCCTTTGGCGGAATCGAGCCTATTCATAGGGCACCACTGTTGACTTTCCCAAAAAGTGGTACTCATTTTATTATGTCTGGAGGGATGATGGGCTGAGTCAAACGCCAGCAAGGGTTTGAACTGCAACTTGCCTCGTTCTACCACTGAGCTCCCTGTCAAGTTCTAATTAAAGTATCATTAAGAATGAGTTTGGAGTTTTTTTAATGGAATCAATATATCACGGAATGAAATACTAAAGTAATCAGGGTTAGAAGGAACAACATATTTAACACAATTACAAAAGTTACTAATCCAATTGCTGTGGAATGTAGCACACAACTGAGCAATACAAGTTCCAGGAGCTGTATAATTGTGAGCAAAATTAGCTATTCATCAAAGAAAGCCATTATCAAAGAAAGCCTCACAAAGTTGCATAATTTTCAGAATGGTCCCACATTGAAATATTTGGCAAAAACATGTTATTAAGTGGTGTTTTTGCACGTGGCTGGAAACCAAGATAACGTTCAAAGGTATACATAGATAGATTTATTAACTCCCTTTCTGGACTACCATCTCTTGACAACATTGCAATTCAGTTGATTTATGAGTTTTGAAAATCTACATGTGATTCATGGGGTGTTCAATCACTGTGCGATGAACCCGATGATCCGAGTTCCATTAATTGTTTTGTCCAAGTTAATGGTTGTTTTCCACGTGGGATTTTACTGCTTTTCTCTCCCTTTAGAATTAATTACTGCGCATTGACGGACCAATCATGCCGTGCAGTGCGTGACATCATCAGGGCCAACTCATGCTTGACGAGTCTCTGGTAAGTTCTGTGTGAAGGAGCTCAATTCTTATTTTACCAGGTAAAGCCTATTGAGCATTGAGCTCTACGTTCAGAGGTGACCCGGCCACATGATAGCTTGAAGAAAGTGGCTGATATCATCACGTGCGGGAATTTAAGTATCAGCCAAATAATCTAAATGCGCGTTTATTATAAACGTGGAGGGGTTAGAACTGGAGAACCCGGGGATAGATCCACACGACAACCATCGGGAAGGAGAACACACGGACTCCAAATTTACTACATGCGTCGTCAGTGCCCGGGATCAAATCCACAACCTCCTGCGTACCAGCCGAGGGAGATAACATCTCCTCGCCATTGTGGTGCTCTAGGTTACTGCCGGTGTGTGTACGTGATAGTTTGACTACGTTTATAAAGTCTCACTGATGTCAAGAGGAATGATTAGCTCTAAAAAATAAATGATAAAACTCATGATACATATATCAATGTTCAAGGATTTTCTTTACAATACACGGAGCACCGTTTCAAGCAACCTTTTTCTATCAACATGTAATAACTCTCCATGTAAAACATCTAGCTTTTTCCACAAAATGATGTAGTAATAATTGATGCTATTCACATAGAAATAATGTGCTTATAACATTGTCTGTGATAGAAATTGGGGATGCTATCTAATACATATAGTATAGTTTGCCTGAATGACTCATATACATTCTCATGTTTTGGAACGGATAGAAGCTGAAACTTGGCAGAGATGAATATATGTGTGCACATATAAATGAAAAGATTTGAAAGCGAAACTCCGCAATTTGGGCCTCCCAACAAATGATGGCCTGCAGATTGATGGTCTTCACTCAAAGAGAAGGATCAACATACACATATGAATGCTGTGCTCTGTATTAACAAAACATTGTTTGAAAGCAAAATTACACGCGTCTTCATTGCTCATATACGTCATGATGGTAAATATTAATCAATAAATATATGAGACCCTGAAATTATTATGGGTTGAGTGAGACAGGGCTGTTATTCCCCCCATACACGTGAGTTTAGGCTAGGTGGTAATAAGCTCAAAGACCAAGGAATCAAGCTCCTGGCGGAAGGGATGGCGGGGAGAGAAGGACATTTGAAGGAGTTATTGTGAGTATCAATCTGATAACTCCACACTTTGTTCAATCTGCAGAAACTCACAATGAACCATCACCACTCGGGAGACAAAGATTGCCTGTATAGCCCGAACAGACTGTTGAGGCTAGTGCTGTTAGCGAGCATCTATGAAGGCAGGCACATCAGGGGGTGGGTGGCCAACACCATGCCCGGCCGCCTTTGTCTCCCGAGTGGTGATGTTTACACATCACACCAGGTACACATTTGAGGGTGAATCGACCAAGGGGAGGCACGGGACTAGTCCAGATAATCGTCACTTGTGTTGGCCGTGAGCGGAAATCGAAATCAGGTCGTTCGTAGCACAGCGAGCTAATCATTGCACTACCGCTCCCCAAATTTTTGGCACACACACACACATATATACATGCTACAAACATTCTCTCACATCAATAAACACAATACAGTATGTACACGAATAGAAATTAATATGATACATAATCCTAAGAAGGGCCATTGTAAAAAACAGATATTTTGAATTTTTTAAATGGGATCTTCGAGTATCCTAGATACTTAAATAACCACTACATATTATCTTCTTGGTTCTTTCGGTAAAGTCACGTAGTAGGGAAGTAATAAAATAATAAAAATAAAACATAATAAAATAATTCTCACGACGTTTCTTCCACAACGCAAGCAGCCGTCCTCAGGTGAAGAACATGTCTGTCACCTGAAGACGGCTGCTTGCGTTGTGGCCGAAACGTCGTGAGAATTATTTTATTATGTTTTATTTTTATTATTTTATTACTTCCCTACTACGTGACTTTACCGAAAGAACCAAGAAGATGAATCCCTGCAGTAACGAAAGCTTTAAATCGAAATTAAATAAAATTTTATTATGTTTCATTTTTATTATTTTATTATTTCCCTACTACGTGACTTTACCGAAAGAACCAAGAAGATGAATCCCTGCAGTCACGAAAGCTTTAAATCACTACATATTAAGTAACCACTCACTACTCCACTACTATTACACAGAATCATACGGGAACAAATCACATGTGCAATGCATTAAAAATGCCGGGTGTCGTGTATTAGAACAATTCGGTTTCTTACCTAGACATGTAGAATTTAAATGTTCTATTTTATGTCTTGGGTTTATTCTGGGCACTGATTTCCTTCCACATGTAAACGTACTTATAGCTTAGCAAGGTCTCAAGAATTAGTGTTCCTTCATGTCTACAGCCAATTCCATCTGGCTACAAACTGAAAACACAATTCATATTGCCATTATTTTTCTGTTGTAATCTGTTACTCCCCCAACAAATAATTCCACTTCGCGAGTCATTTTCACAACACAATGTCACGTTCTTAACATCTCTGGATGGAAGAGCACACGACTGACATCATTGCTGTCATGAGGTTCCTGGAGACCAGGAACTGGAGTTCAAGGGACAGCATTTCACGTGGAGCCCTCTTATTAATTTGCACCAAAATCTCACATTTTTTGTCAGGGCCCTATATTGTGTGAGGCCCCGGCCAAATGTCCCCTTTGACCCCCCCCCCCTCACCCACCCCCTGTCTCTCAGCAGCCTTGACTGACACATTTATTTTATTACTCTGACGTTACTTTGTCAATGTCAATGCACGTTCTATGTCGGATTCATATTCTCTTCTTTTTCTTCAGCTTGCAGGAATGCCTGCTGACGAGCATGTCAGGTCCTGCACTCCACGACATCATCTATGCGAACCCAGGCTTGAGGGAAGTCTGGTAAGTTCTGTGTGTAAGAAACTGTGAAGGCTGTGCTCTTGCTGCTGTTGCTGCATGTTTCAAACACACGCATACACTGCAAGTTAGTATTGGTTGGTGTCTTGCTCTGTCTCCATCACTCTTGTATCTATATGTCTCTATATCTCTCTTCGTGTGTCACTGTGTCTGTCTTTGTGTGTCAATGTGTTTCTGTATTTTTGTATGCCTCGTTATGCCGATGCCTCTTTATCACCCCGTGTTTCTCTATCTCTTTGTCACTCTGAATTTATATGCCTCTCATTGGTTGTCTCCATGCATTCCTGTCAAACTCTGTGTCTCTTTATGAGCCTGATTTTCCTCACCTCCTCAAAACCCCACAAGTGTTGAGGCAGCCCTGAACCCAGAAGCCCAACACATGCACATGGCCGTCACCACCAACACCACCATGACCAAAACCTTCCGAGTGATCATCACACCACCAATACCAAGACCCGCCATTCACCACTAAGTGACGGTGGTGTCACCATGGTACCTGTGCCAGGCCAGGTGCACTTTGAGGCCACGTGAAGTGTCAAAGGCTTGCTGGCAGGAGGTCACAGGACAGACCCAGGTGCCATGGGTTGACTGTCGCCTACTGTGCCAGCTTGCTGCATATTAGATGCCCGGCGCTCTGCTCGTTGTTATGAGCGTCGCTCCTCCACCTGCTGTTGTTGGGGGGCGACTGCCTCAAACTGCTCGGTAGCATCCTTCACAAGCCTCCTGCACAGAGGCCGATCTTGACAGCGCTGGTACCAGTCATCGGCAAGTCCACTCAGCTCCACATCCTCCCATACCGCATCAAACCATCTTTTCTCCAGCCCGTGTCGTGCCTGTTTAGCCCCCTCTATTCTGCCCCACCACCACAATTATAATCACCACCATCACCACCACAAGACTACCCCAATCCCTTCCATTCCTACTGAAGCATGATTGTGATTGCCCAACAATATTTAAATATTACTCATTACACACCACATGGTGTATAACACGACAAACTCGAACTATTAATAGTTCGAGTAGTATTAGCAGAATCAGTAGGAGCATCGGTAGTGGCCGTAGCATTCTTGGCAACATCAGTGTCCTTGGCCGTTTCGTCAGCAGCACTATTTGTGGATGTTGGGTCTGGCCTCAGTCGTCACATCCCTCTGGACTTTCGTAGCTGCTGCCGTTTGGTCTTCGTGTTGGTGTCGTCAGCTCTGAATGAGCCTAAATCGAGCTGTGAGGATCTCCCTGAGGCTCAGTGTGAACCCAACTCAACGCCAGCCTCCTGCGTGTGTGTATGTGTGCTGCAGGTTGAGTGGCAATGACTTCCGTGCAGAAGAGAAGATGGAGTTGAAGAGGAGATGGACTCACAGAGAAGATCTGAAGATTACATTTTAATCTGAGAATACCCAGACGTTGGAAAATTAACTCACAGAGCAGCTCCGTTAATTTCATTTAAGTGGTTTTTAAGAATTTGGAGATATCCATCAGAGAGACGCAATCGGAAAAGACAGATGTTAAAAGCAGGACAAAATGTAAATGTTGCGCTGAACTTGAACTTTTTTCGCACCGTACGTAGCCAACCTTGCTAATAGGAGGTGCGGGGGAAAGACAACATAATATCTACGTATACATGATTAAATAAAGAGAGATTATTCAATAAAGAGGTGGAAGAGAGCAGATTGGAGCGCTTTTGGAACTGGACAATGTACGCAACATAGCCATGTTAAGTAGAACGTCTTTGATGCATCACTATCTGCTATGACACATGAATCAATAGCATGGTCGTGAATGATATAATCGAAACTAAAACTTAACACTGTGCAAGATAGCATGGGGAGATGTTTGCTCAGAATCGCATTGAAGCAGAAGGGGGGGTGACATGTTTTAGATAACACAAGCCAGGTTACACGCACCGCGAAATGTGCTGGAGTGAACATCGACCGCGGAGAATGGAGTGATGGAATCGGCTTCGTGTGCCGGTGCTCGGCGCATTATTACAAGAAAGGATCGTGACATATCGCGATGGCGTGGGGGAGACCTTCATCCAGCAGTGGATAGAGCACGGGTGGTGATTGACGATCAACGCTGGCCCCCCGAGCTGCTATTGACGAATGTGTTGGGGAGTTTGTTTGTTGGTTTGACAATCCGGGCCGAGTTGACAGACACGCGCTGACGTCTGTAATGTACTTTTTTTATTTACAGAGAAGTACACGTGCATGATTACCACGAGCAGAATTTGCCGTAATCACTTGGAATGAAATTTTGGCTTCATAGGATGCTAGTTTACACGACAGTAGAATTAACACAACTCCTCTTTCCCTTTGTGGAGGTGAAAACCATTGGAAGTTGTTGGAGGCTGCATGACTATGGTGGCATTCCGCAATAAGGAGATTGAACGCGATGTACAGAGTGTTGAGACAAAACAAGCAAACATCCTGTCGCACATGTGCTGGCTTGCGACTCGCTGAGACCATTCGGTGTCCCATGTGAAGACCGCGGCGTTGGACCCAACATTTCAAAAATTGTAAATAACGTGAATTTTAAATAAACTTTGTTCTTGTTCCATAACTCAGACCCTGTCCCTTGGGAGTTATTGCAGTGTCAGAGCTTGTCCTGGTCCTCCCCTATGTCGACTCGGCCATAAATGAATGATGCAGTGTGCAAACAGCAGCAGGGAGATGAATGTGACCAGGCGTAATGCTGGCCACGTCACCTCGTGTTCCATGTCAGTCTTTGCTGTATAACAGCATTTGCCCCAACAGTTAATACGGAGTTTTGTATGCGTAGGCTTTACAAGTAATAACATAAACGAATGATTCGTCGTTAGTTTATTTTGGGTTAGATCGTCGTGTAGGTAAAATTATTCCACCACCTGACAGAGCAAATCAAATCAAGTTGTCACGTGGGCAAATGTGCCAAACGCTTTTGTGCTTTTTTTCTTAAGAGTAAAGTAAAGAGGCGGAGTGAAGGGAGGGAACCGAGCTGTAGACGAGCGGCAAAGGTATTCCATAAACGTGGAGCAGCGACGCGGATAGACTCTTCAGCTAACAAAGTTTTGTAGCGAATGTGACATTCTGAGGCTTGATTCGGCGCGCGTTCAGTCCCAGCCGACGAGGTGACTCATCCTCGTTGAATCCCATGGCCACTTGAGCCCCAGTTGTCAATCTGCCGCGTTTGAAGCGAGAATTCGTTCGTGCTGGCGTGGAGCGAGACACGGATCGCTGCGGGCGAGCGGGATGGATATAAATCAGCGGGAGGAGGAGGAGGCGGCGCTACACAGGGGAGCGAGAAGAGACGCGACGGAGGAGAGTGGCATAGCGCTCTGCGAGTCTGCGTGCGGGCACAGGTGAGTTGCTGCACACACACACACAGGTAAGTGTCTACGCACACGCAGCGCGCACGACACACCGACGCAGGACAGCGCTCGCCATCAGAAAAAATGAACGAGTTCAACTGCTGGTCAGGACATTTGAAGTGCATTTTGTTTCTACTTTTGTGCTGTCATCTCATTTCCAGTGTTTTACTGGAGTCCCATGCTCGCATCGTGCCAGCGCTTTGGAATCAAATGTTCGCATGTGGTCTGGCATGCTGTTGTTGACGCTTTGGTATGTTTTGACACGCTTTAGGTGCCAGGCAAGTCGTGTTGAATTCGATCTACCATTCGCTAATAGGTGATATTCTCGATGGCAATCAGATATAACATTCTTCATAGAAAATCAGTGTGAAGTTAGATCAGGGAGGGGTTGTAGTGATCAGATCTTTACCGTAAAACAGCTGATAGAGAAGCGTTGGTAGCATAGGGAGGAGCGTTAGATTTGCTCCGGAGACTTTAAGACGATGATTGTGTGTGGTGAGAGGCTATGATGGGACGCAGCGCCATGCACAAATGGGTGGTTAGACATCCGAATGGTGTGGTGTTTGTTGTACCCGACGTTGTTTTTTCAACGCTGTGCAAAAAACTTTGGACGCGCTAAGCACTGAAGAGAATATGACGGGTAAGTGTAGGAGAGATGGTTAAGCAAAAGAAATAAACGGCTCTTCTCGATGGGACGCGTGTGTAGGATGGGGGAAGGGCCAATTCACTACCAAGACATGCAATCGGCGTGTTCTTCACGAGCCTAGCGACCAAGGGGATGGCCTAATGAGGCCAGTTGGTGGGCGACTGTCAGGGCAGATCTCGAGAGGCCCGACTGTTCACAATGCGGGAGCTGATGGGATGTGGCGCCAGGAATAGAAAGCGTTGGTGAGGTGTGATGGTGGCATCAAAAGCTTCGGTCGTGATGGCCTCTTGATCTTATTCGATCACCTACCTCTCTCTCTCTCGCCCTGTACTGCACTGCTGTGACTGGTTCACGCAGATTACCTTTGCAGAAGGCACTCGTTCTGCTAATGGGAACTTAAAAAGGCAGGCGCCTCCAATGGAACACTCATCCAGATATCAATTTGTACGTGTCCCCGCTGCAGGCAATGCAGGTGTGGATAACTGTGTCGGTAATATTTATAATAGATTCTATTGCACCACCTTAGGGGATATTCTACAGGTCAATGGCATATCATATAACCAATGAGCAATCATTGCTTCGAGAAATGACTTTGACTTCTCGCCACAAACAGCAATTTCCTTTGCAACTCCCCTGCCCACTCCCCCTTCCTGACCCTGAAGCATAGTCCACGTGTCCATCTCTTAATTATTCCACGAATTTTCACCAGGCCGATAGATAAATTATGGTCCTCTTGGCTTTACTGCTCATGCCTTTGTTGTTGCAGGTGGTGGGCAGTGGCGCACGGTTATGATCCAGCGCTGTCGAGGCAATAGTTTGGTGAATCGTGCGGCGATTTGTGATACTTCTAAACCCTCCTGGCTGCGACTTGGACAGGAGGTAGCTCCATCAGCTCCTGAAACTCATCGCACCGATGCTTCTCCACTCCACGATCTGCCGCGTGTGAACTCCATGTGACACGTTCAAATGGCACAGAGCGTGTTGAAACTGAATTCCACCAACCTTACCAACGTCTCGTCTAACAGATGTGTTCTGAACGCCTTCCAACTGCTGTGCCCTCCGCTCAATTTGTCCTACGCGAGCAGCGTTCTCGTGCAGACTGCGCTCGTCATCTGCATAGTGGCCATCGCTGTTGGTAACACGCTGGTCATCGTGTCCATCGCCTACTTCCGAAAGTTGCAGTCACGCATGAACGTCTTCACGCTGTCCCTGGCGCTCACCGACTTCCTCGTGGGCGTCCTCATCATGCCCTTCAGCATGCTCAAGACCGTGCACAACAACTGTTGGTTCTTCGGCCGATGGTTCTGCAAGATTCACACGAGCCTCGACTATGTCATCTGTACGGTGTCCATCCTGCACCTCAGCTGCATCGCATACGACCGCTACAATGCCATCTGCCACCCGCTGTGCTACACGCAACGGGTGAACAGGGCCAAGGTGGTCGTGATGTTGGGCGTCTGCTGGGTGGCTCCTGTCATCTACGTGGCGCCCATAATGCTCGGCTGGAACATCATCGGCATCGAGGAGATCGTGGCGAGCATGACCTGCCCCGACAGCTGCGTCATGTTCAAGAACATTACCTTTATGGTGATGGACACGGTGTGTGCTGTCATTCTGCCTATGATCCTAATGGGGGTGGCGTATGCGAAGATCTACAGGGTAGTGCGCGATCATTCGAGGAGGATTCACTCGCAGCATCAACAGCAGGTGGATGGCAACGCCCTCAAGCGGGAGCACAATGCCACCAAGACACTGGGCCTCATCATGGGAGCCTACTGCGTGTGCTGGCTGCCATACTGCGTGGTGAATGTGGTGGACGTATTCAATAACTATCAGACTAGTAGTTGGGTGTGGAGCGTCGTCACGTGGCTGGGATACATCAACTCCGGCTTCAACCCCGTGCTCTACGCACTCTTTAGCCGACCATTCCGACGAGCATTCGCAATTGTCCTCAGCAAGAGGATTTTCACCTCGGACACAAGAAATATGGATCTTTTCAGAGAAGATTAATTTTGAATCCAGGGATAAAACAGTTTACTCACCTACCATCAATACCCATTGTGACCAAGAGGAATATTTTTTGCACAGATGGCAGGTTACTGAAAGATTATGTAAGGGTGTGCTTTAAAGGAAATTTTGATAGCATAAAAAGCAGGAAACGAGACTCAGCGATTCACCAGGAGTGATGCACTAAAAACAACAATGGAATGATGCATGAATAGAATTGTGACCCTTCCACTAAATCTCCGTGGAGGGGTGGATGCGTAAACCAGTCAACAGCGCAAATGTGAAGTGGCAACCAAGGCAAAAAGTGGTAAAAGGCAAGAATGGTAAGATCTTTATGGACAAAGAGACAAAAATAGATGGACTGAGCATTGTGATAGTACTATTACATCGATTAACAGTGCAGACTGATAGGTATTTGGTGGAACTTGATGTTCAGGCTTATAGCAGAGAAAGCAAGATAAACAATAGGCTGATTTATAACTGTTCCATAGATTTCCAGAAAGCATTTGATTCGACTAAGCAATAAATAACGTGGGAAACATTGAGATCATACGGCGTAAGGGGACTAATGGCCACGGGAGGTAATGACAGGGGCATAATTAGTGAGTGGGTAGACCGGTGGCTACGGGAATGTTCGAGAAGGGAGCGTGGTCAGGTGACGGAAGAGGACGGTGGAGTCTGCCGGTAGAGGGAGCGTCCACAATCAGCGAGAATGATCGAGAATGCTGGCGTGGCCTCGTGTTGGTGTTGCAGTTGGGATCTCCGCCTGATATCAAGTGAACGTGTCTTCAATCAAGTGCCATCTCAAGAGAAGTGTGTCAAGTCGTCATTACATCTGCACTCATATTTGGTGTTCGCGAGGTGTGGCTGAATGATGAGCACCTATGATCCATTGCTGTTTAAATTACATGAGCGGACGTGTGCAGGTGGGGACTTACAATGCCTCATTTGTGTTGCTGCTGATTTGGCAGCGGTGCACAAGCACAATGTACAAAATATCTCCGGACATTCGTCAATAATGCTGAAAAAATAGGTAACATTTTGAGCAATGGTACTTGTTCATAACATGTCAATAGAGAAACAGAGTGGATGATACGGGAGGCTGCACTCTGCACCATGGGGCCTGAACAAAATTCAATGTTAAACTTTTTTTCATGATCAGTTTCTAAATTGGTAAATGAACAGCTATGTAAAAGGATATATTGAGTAACAAACCATTCAATAACCAAAACAAATATTGCGAAATAAACTAATATATTTAAAAGGTTGATTTTATGTATACAGGGTGTTTACAAAAGATGGACCCAATTTGAAATCGCTATATCTCCGCAACCACGAACCACCCGTGCATGAAGCTCTTACCACTTGAAAGGGCGGGACATAGAGTTTCAAATGATTACCGCTCGATGCCTCTTCCAGCGCACAAACAACCCCTAGCCTCAGTCATTCGCAAGATGGCGACCCCGCAACACAAGGCGTTTTGCGTTCTGTAGTTCAGCAAGACTGAATCCGTAATTGCGGTGCAGCGTGCGTTGATCCGCCAATGTCAAAGAGCATGATGGCACAAAAGACCGTGTTTTTGTGCCACCATTAGCGACTGATCTGGATGACCTCAAAAACAGAATCACGGCAACGGTTACTTCAGTGGAAGAAGACACTTTGATAGGCATATTCTTAGGTTTTTTCGGTTAAGTCACGTAAGTAAAACATCAAAATAAAAATAAAATAAAAATAAAAAATAAAAAATCACGACGTTTCGGAGGCAACACAAGTCTCCGTCATCAGGTGGGACCGTCACAGCCGAATTAGCTGCATCAAGTGAAGCAATGATTCAAGATGTAATCCCTTATAAGCAAGTTGAAGGGAGGTGGAGAGGGGGGAGAGCTTATCAGACTGTGGTAGCCAATGAATGGAAACGTATCGGGAGGGATAAGTTTCCATTCATTGGCTACCACAGTCTGATAAGCTCTCCCCCCTCTCCACCTCCCTTCAACTTGCTTATAAGGGATTACATCTTGAATCATTGCTTCACTTGATGCAGCTAATTCGGCTGTGACGGTCCCACCTGATGACGGAGACTTGTGTTGCCTCCGAAACGTCGTGATTTTTTATTTTTTATTTTTATTTTATTTTTATTTTGATGTTTTACTTACGTGACTTAACCGAAAAAACCTAAGAATATGAATCTTTGCAGTCACGAAAGCTTCAAATCTAGAACTTTGATAGGCGTTTGGGACGAATTCAACTATCTTCTCGATGTCGTCCGTACAGCAGATGGGGGGCACATAGAGCATTTATAAAATGGTTAGTAAAACTTGATAACTCGTTAAACCGTTTGTAACTTTTTGTGTAATTGTAACATGTTGCCATAGTGAAATATACTGCTTTGAAATTGGGTCCATCTCTTTCAAACACACTGTATTTTAAGAATTTGTGATTTACTTATTCGTCTGTTACCAAACAGCTACTGTTAGGTTGTGGTGGTGCCACCGTCTGAGCTTCGACCGCCGCATCACCACACAGATCTGGAGGGTTGAGTGCTGACTGTGCAACAGCTGAGTGACGTTGCAGAAGGAAGATAGGAAGATTAGGCATGGTTAATTAGCCACGATGACCTCTTGACTGATTTTTTTAAAGCCATAATTAGCGTCGTGTGATTCAGTGGAAAGGCTTAAGGCTCCAAGGGCTAAACAGAGGCCAGTCTGTCGAGATTTGTACAGCCCAGCAAACACGAGAAACGTCCCAAGTCACCATCACCATGTTTTTTTTTATTACTCCGTACATTTATATAAATATAACACATCACCTCTCAGCTTAACATTAAGTTATACCTAATTAATACGCCCGTAGGGTCCGCTGAATCTAAACAACACGTGCTTCCTCAAGGGCACTTTGGAGATGCCTCTCGGGTGCGATTTTGTTGGAAGAAGACCTCTCGAGGCGTCACACCTCACTCCCTAATTGTTCCCGAGCACTTGTGTGGGAGGCACCGGCTACTGCTCATTAAGTATGGACAGAAAATGCCATCTTGATGCTTATGCGGAATTTACAAGCGAACAGGAGCTCCGCGTGTTTGTTTCTATTTTCCATCTCGATGTTGTGTCTATCCTCCATGTCTCTCCGTACTCCGATCCATATATATATATAAAACTCTCTGTCTCTTTGTGTGTGTCTTTCTCTCTCTCTGTCGTTGCGTCTCTCTCTGTCTGTCTCTTTGCGTTTGTATTCTTCCACGTATTTCTACAACTAAATCTTCGTGCCATAGTCTGGATGAAAGGGATGCATTTCCTATTATCATTGCGCCTACCCTTTGAAGATTATGAAAATACGTTTTACACTGGACACGTGAAATTGTATAAAGTAATTCAAGCATTCACAAACCGATGCTTAAATAAACATATTCAGAAGAAAACACAGACTTACAGAAACGAGACAGCTATGGTCAGATTGTATGTGGAAAGTACGAGTTTAAAATGTGAGGCAGACGAGGTGACACGCTTTTGCGAACGTTTCCCATAGTGGCATTCGAAAATATGTTCTCAGATTTTTCTGAGTATATTTTCACTCAAACTCCCAATACGAATAGGCTCCAGCAAATTTTATCAAGAACATCATAAAGAAAGCTGCAGAGTTGGGGCTCAGGAAAAATACTTTATCAGCAAAGCAATGGGCATGTCTTTCAAGTTTGATAAGCATTTGGAGATACCTCTTGGAGGGGCACAACTCGAAACCACTGCAGAGTATGTGTACCTTGGACAGCTGCTGAAGGAGGACCATGAGATGTGGATGAGAGTAGATTCGGAAATCTGAACTTGATTATAAAAAGTTAAATTACAATGGGCCTAAAGAAGATCGTGCATAATCAGTGTATCGTACCTGCTTTGACGCATGGTTCGGAATCATGGTCAGTAACGAAACAATTGACTAAAACATAAAGAGGGACGCGTGGATTAGAGAATCAATGCAGGTTAATGGCATCGTTCAAACTCTTTATAAAAGTAAGTTGGCTTGGGCACGAGCCGTTGCTAGACGGTGGTCAAGAATAATAACAACGAGGTGGCAGCCAAATGAGCTTGTTCGAGAGGACGTCTGCCCAAGAGATGGAGCGAAGAGATCGGTTCCTGTCCAGGCGCTGGGTGGATTGTTTAATCGCACGATCGTGAGAGGTGGCCAGTGGCTTGGGGAGGCCTTCACTCAGCGGTGCATTGATCATGGCTGGTTGTGATGATGAGCACGCGACTAAAGGCAACGTTGAAAGTGAGGCTGACCCTGCCCGTGGAGTGACACCAATCAACCATCCGGGTCACTACGTTTGGAGGGCACAGATTCGCCCCGATAACTAAATGCCTCCATCTATCTACTCCCGCATCAATTCAGGATCAAGTTTCAGCTTCCATCACTCTCTGTGACAGTGGTTCGTAAACTGGGTCTGGGGTGCACGCTGCACCCCCTGGGGGTGCGAGATGCCCTTTCTGGGGGATTCGATATTTATTTTAGAAGGTGAATCATCGAAAGACAAATTAAGCACGGGAACGTAGGTACAACTACTTTGTTTCATCAAACCTATGCATTCATTAGTATGATACATTTACTTTTACGACGGAGAACCAAACGTCTGCAAGGCTACAGCAAAGGTTAAGAACCACTGCTCTGTAAGATGCTCCATCAACTCGCGCTCATCCACCTTCCCATCCCGCTTTCTGTTTGGTAGCGCATTTCCATTGACGTCATGCTTCTCAGTCGACGTGAAACACAAGGCGAAGGAAGGTGGTGGTGGTGGTGATGAAGATGTGTTCATGGTCCTCGTCAAGACTGGAGCTCAAGCCCCCCGCAGCAGAACATCGCCTACGCTCCATCAACTGCCCCACACACAGTCCACGCACACACGCACACTATCTCGCGTTTAGTTACAACAACATGAACAACAAACCGGCGCTGTTTGCCCTACTTGTATTCCTACACCTGTTCACCCAGAAACGTCGCAAGACTCGTTTAATTAGGCGCCTCGTTCAGTCCCTGCCGACGAGGTGACTCTTCATCATCATTGAATCCCATGGCCAATTGAGCACCCCCACCACCCACCCCCCCACCCCCGAGTTGTCGATCTGCAGAGTTTGAAGCGATAATTGGGTTCCCCGCTGGCGCGAGACGCGGAACGCTTCGAGGCGGCGCGGATATAAATCAGCGGGAGGAGGAGGCGGCGGCGGCGTCACGCAGGTGAGTGGCTGCACAGACACACATAGGTGAGCGAGAAGAGACGCACGGAGGAGCGTGACACAGCGCTCTGCGAGTCTGTGCGCGGGCACAGGTGAGTTCCTGCACACACACAGGTGAAAGGCTGCACACACACATACACACACAGGGATGAGTGGATGCACACACTGCAACAAACACGAGAAACGTGATTCGATATCAGAGGAGTGCAAACTCACGTGCAGACGTCGACTATACCGTTCGTCATCGTAATCATCATCATCATCACCTCTCTGAGGTCGATAACGCCATTAAGTGCTACGTTGAGGAATGGTTCCACGGGTGGACTCGTCGTCACCTCTGGCCGAGGAGTTTATCTCAAGGAAGCAGGAATCAACTTCAGCTCGGTCAGTTGATTGCAGGCAAGACCCATTGACCTCTCTCATTGGCGACCCTTCGACTTGTTTTTCTACACCCATGGGTTAGTCGAATAGAGGCGGTCGTGAGTGAGTGATGAGCAAGTATAACCCGTAAAAACAAAGTTTTTCACTATAAATCCTTTATATGCGTGGCGGCTAGAGTCATCTCGTCCTCTGGCTTGAGATGGCTGCCACCTATGGGTCAGATGATTGCATGGCACCATTAAGCAATTGGTAATTAAAATAATATTTTTGTCCTAAAAAGTGTAAAATTTTGGAAATATTTTTTCACGAACATTAATTGTCAAGCACAACGAGTCTGTGTGGAAAATGTCAGCTCGATTGGATCACGGGAAGTGGGTTAAAAAACGACCAAAAGATTTGCACGTTCGTAAGCGCGCAAGCAAGCAAGCGCGCAAGTGAACTTAATATAAAGGATTAAAAAATCGCGCGACGTTCCAGCAGAGTGATAAAGTTGGAATGTTGCACAATCGGAGTTGAGTCGATGTTGTTTTTCAGGCGAACAATCAACAAGTTCACCCGTGTATCTCCCCTCCCGCAGATGAGGTCCAACACTTTTAACGTTTTCATTTTCGAATCGAGGTCTGCGAAATGTTATAATTAGAGGGTTGAAGGGCGTTTAATATAAATGTGACATCCGATTTTAATATTAACTTTACCTTCACTATGAACCCATTATATACACCATAAACCCATTACATACAGCATGAACCTATTATATACACCATGAACCCATTACATACACCATGAACCTATTACATACAACACGAACCCATTACACCAATAACTCATTATATACAACATAAACCCATTACACCACGAACCAATTACATACATTATGAACCCATTACAACATGAACCTATTACGAACATGAAACCATTACACCAAGAACACTTTACATGCAACATAAACATGCACCATGAACCCATTACATACACCATGCATGAATCGATACACGTGGATTCCTGCTCACACACTCATCGATGAAACT